TGGCCTCTAGAATCTACCATTAAAATTTTTCAGTAGGGTGATTACTCAATAATTCGTATTATCCACTTTTTGGACCTCTTCAGGGTTACAACATTGGATTATAACGAACCAAAGCATACACGAAATAGAAAACATATCATAATATATGCGCAAGTCTTTGCAAAAACTGTGTTCGACGACACCGGAAATTCTCACCTGTGCCAAACAGAATTAGCACGCTGCTGTCTAGTATTTTCAAAGCATGTCTACCGAAAATATCCCATTCCTTCGAGCACGGTATTTCCTGTGTCCCATTAATAAGTATCTTTGATGTCGAGACACTTCTGACATAGTACGTAATGCAAAAGCGCCAAGTAATTCCTTAAATGGATATTGTGTATTATAAATAGAATTTAAATGCTCTGTAACTCTGAATTGTAATTATTAAACGTTATACGCGATACAATAAACGTTACAATTTTACTTGCCAGTAATACAAAAATTCTAATATTGTGAAATAGATACAGAGGGTAATAAATATTTCTCTTTAAAGAATTACTTTAAAGGAATTTAGAAAAATACATGTTTCATAGAATCTTTTAAAAGTATAAAATAAGATTTTCTTAGAACATTCATACAGTTTCATACAAATTGCAATGCACTGTTTTATCAAATTTCATGTAACCCAAAAATAGCAACACAAAGGTGAGATTTTGTTTTACTTTATTTTCATATATCATTTAACTTTCATACGTTGCAAGGCCTGATTATTTTTCGTTCCTAAGGTTCCATCAAAGGGCACACGAGCAGAAATTTCATTTTACAAACACGAACGAAATAACGTAAAAAGATTTTCCGCTTTTCCGCGCGACAGTAGGAAATACGTGTATATTACGTGCGTCCGTAAATTATTTTATATTTTTTTAACATCTCGTGGTCCATATTTATTTCGACGACGCTTGTTTAGTCTGCGTTGTTACGGCATCTCAGTCCCGCAATTTTCGAGCATTCTATTCACGTTTATCGAACACTTTCGATGCAGCTCGCTTTTCATGCATTTCTTTCGCGTGCGCCGTATGAATCGACAAGTTGTTACGAATACCTGCATGTAATTAATTATTCTCCGTTAAACGTAATGAACAAAATCCTATTTGCGTATAGTGCTGCGAAAAATTACAAAATGATATTTCTACATGTTTCGTAACATTCGAACAAAAGTTGAAGGCACTTCAACTGCAGCTTCATATTACCATACGAAAGAACAATGTGGAAACAATAAACAAAACTTTTCTTGCAATAAAAAAAATTAATACTCTCTTAAAATTGTATTTCAGACTGCAAAAACATATCAAATCAATATTAATTTTAATTGCTTTTCATTTTATATTAAGTGATGTTTCCTTTATTTTTTATTTCTTGTAATAGCTGGTCAAGAACAGTATCGATACAATTGTTTAATTTTACTTCAGATTTCCAAGCAGACCCTATTTAATTTTTTAAGTTCTGAAATGCTTTTTATAACAGATTTACTACCCTCTTCAACCTGTACTATCATACTGTATATGTATATGTAAACAACTACAAGTGTAATTTTTTTATTTTATTTATATTACTTATTAATGGCAACATTTTTGCTTAAAATTGCCTTGGAAGAATTAATAGTTAAAAAAAAAAGATATTTACACATAAAAAGTTGTAATGGTTCCCTGCCAAAAACTACAACTACAATTGCAAATTTTTTATTTTATTTATATTCCTTATTAATGCCAACATTTTTGCATAAAATTGCCATGGAAGAATTAGTAGTAAAAAATGATATTTACATATAAAAAGTTGTATTGGTTGCTTGCTACAAAGTGATAAAATGGGGCCTAAAAATACGCGTTTTGGAGTAGGCTACTCCGCTTAAGTCCATTGTATACAGAACGAAAACTATTTTCCTTTGCCTCGTAGCAATGACGAAGCAAAAATTCGGCTGTGCGAAATTTCGGAGAAAAAAAATAGATCTCCGATGACTGGGCAACGTCACGAATGATGAAGAGGGAGTACCGCTATAAATTTCCGTGGAACGTACGTGGGAAAACGACGTCACGTTCGCGACCGACGTCACAGCACCCTGAACGTTGTAAAGACTCGCGACTCATTCATGAAATTCTAGAAATCCACGCAATACCAGGCGAAACCAATGACATCAGAAAATAGATAAAGAGCCGCCTAAAAATATCCCCGTTTATCCGAAGGCCTGCTATTTTCATCCCCGTCGGTTTATATGTTTTCTTAGCGATCTTTCGGCTAGAAATTCTATCCGTCCGCGCGTAATAATGCCGCCTCGTATTTTCACTTGCCCCGCGAACAAACGTTATTTCCACGCCGGAATGTCAACCTCTTTTCTTCTTTCCCTGCGAGCGTAACGTCTAAAAATTCCGAGTCGCCCGGTCGCGAGCATTATCGCCCTGGAATATTTTATCCGCGCGTACGTTCGATATATCCGATACCGGGGCCTTTTATCGAAATTTACGCGATATCGCGGCAAACACGTCGCGTCATATTTCCGACGCGACGAGAATCGATATACGCTTTGCATCGACGAACCGTTTAAGGGCTATTCTAGCCTAGCGCTCTTCAAAAATCCTCTGCATTTTATGGGCCTCGGGGATACGTTCCTGAAAGATTCGATTAAAATTCCGTACAAATAACAGAGCACGTTTTATCGCGATGGGGACAAGCACAGTAACGGGGCGGAATTGATTGTACGAGGTGGGTGGAGAATTGTAGTACAACCAGCTAGGAAATTCTACGTAAAAAAAAAATGAGGAAAAAATTTGGTATTCAATTTTTTCATCCGGGGTTTTATTTTCGTGAAAATAGAATAATCTCAGGGGTTTTTGTTGTACGTTGTGGTGACAGAGTTTTTATAGTCGATTCTTTCAAGGAAATTACAAGAAAAATTGTAGGTGTTAATATAAGCAATACGAGTAGAATCTAAACTATTACAGTCGTAGTTGTTAAACGTAATGCACTTAACATCCAAATATATAAGAAATATTTCAAGATACGAATTATTACATTTAGGGGCTGAGACAACCCTCTGTAAAGCTTCCATGTCATTAATTCTATTAATAAGAACATGAATTTGCAGAAAGATCCGCAGTCTAATGACGATATAGATTGAAGTAGGTAATTTACATTTCCAGACGTAAAAAACCAAATAAGGCCTGCTTGGGAATCCGAAATAAAACCAAATAACTGAATCGATAGTGTTCTTGGCCAGCTATTGCAAGCAACGAAAAATAAAGGATAATTAAACATCCCTGATCGAACTTTGAATAGATGACAGAGCTTTTTTCGGGATCTCGATGGATTGGAAGTGGCTGATAAGCTGGAATTAGCATCGTGAAAACGTTTGAAAGGTAAATGGCCATGGACACGACGGAAACATCGATTAACGAAAGAACATCGACCGTGGCTGGTTCCCTCGAGACCCTAAAACTGACGTTTGAAGCAGGGTCGTGCTCGTTGCTCGCGCGACATGCACACGTTACACGGTTGGTGTCGATGTATCGAGCAAGGTCGGATTGCGTAAAAATGCCCGTGCTAGACGGGCGGATTCTGTTCGCATCGGTAGAGGCCGATCGGTCCCCAGGTATACCTAAGGCCAGGAATATTCTCGTAGACGCCCCCGCCGTGCCAGAATCAAGGGGACACTATGCTAACCTCGAGTGCACTGGCCAAAGCACGAACTCATCCCAGAAATATGGCCGAACATTATTATTAGATTACATTTTCGTCTCTAGACTGGAGTCGTGCGTTTCGAATGACTCTTAGGACGGTTTCTTTCCTCGTTTCTCCGATTCCCAGTTCGGAAACCGTAAACAAGAATCATTGTCAGAAGCCACCGGAGGGTTGGAAACGTCCCGGAACCATCATTAACACTAGGACAACCAAACCAGTCAAAATTACCCATTCTCGTAATTCCTAATAAAACTTTAAAAAAATGTACTTTTGAAAATTTAATGTAATTTTCTATAAGAGAATGAATAAACATTTATTTCCTCGCGTATCTGTCGTTCTAATTTCCTTGGTACGAATAAATACACTAATTGTTGGTAGTTCTAGTGTTAATTTGTGAGAAAATTAGTCAAGCTTGTTTCAAACTCCATACATATTTATTTTTGAATAAATTTTCTTGTTGCATCAATTACAATTGCAAGGAATTGTACTTTTCCAGATAATTAAGTTAGTTTGCTACTTTCTAATCACTTCGAGAATGCGTAAAGTGTTTAGTCTTCAAGTTACTTTGAATATTGAATGTAATCACCGAAATTCTGAATAAATGTTTAGAATTAGAAGATCGATGGATACCGTGAATTTTTGTTTATTACAAACGGAAGAGCTCGGCCGTGAAGAGGTTAAGAATATTAAGAAATATTAATAACTCGAGAAATTGATGTGTTTCCTCGAATGTGACAGTGTGTTTATGATTTCTGAGAATTTCTCCAATATTTCGTCATCCTCAATATCACATGGCTGACACTGGTCTATTTTAAAATACTTAGTGGCGTGATTTTGCTGCGTAATATATTATTTAACTTAATTTTAAAAATAATTTTTTAGCAGCTGTATGTTTCAAAGCACTGACTAAAGCAGAATTCTAATTCTAATTAATATAAGACTCAATAGTGGTCTTTGTTGTTACATATTTGGTAATATGGTTCAAAACTTTTTCGTAAATTTTTATTCGAATTTTTTTACCAACCCAATATCGTAATAATAAAATTTTTGCAAACTTAAAATTCGTGTTGAAAATAAAGGTTAATTCTCTCTTTGACAGGTGTTTTTCAAAAATTATTCGTGTCAGAAATATATTCGTATTCGCCATAAATTTTGTACGGTTTCGAAAGATTAAATCCACCAACCCTTACTTTTCTTCCGCGTTTCTCTTCCCCGATATTCCTTTCGTCTTGTACCCCACTCTCCGTCGTTCTCTTACGAACTAATATAATATTAAATTTAGTACTCACGTTCCGATGCACCGGTGCACGCGCCACCCTCTCCGAAGATCCTCGAAGTAGTTCCGCGAGGAGTTCGGGACTTGGTCCCGGAAGACCTTCGAGTTTGCTTGGACTGGAAGTGGTTCTATGGTGGCAGGGTGTGGGCGGTTCGGAACTGCTGTTATTTGAACTTGTGTTGTACGAGAGATTCGCGGAAACTTTTCTCCGCGGACGAAGACCTTCCTCGAGAGCGATGTCGGTGGTTCGCGGCTTCGCCATTTCAGCCTCGAGCATTTGCCCGTAAGGGCCGCGCAGAGGTCTTTTACTGTATCTGCACAGACGAGAATAAAATCGGTTAACCGTTAAAGTTTCGCCAATTCCTTCCAACAATGGAATTTGCTACGCGTATTGTGCTATAAAAACAAGTCAAGATTAAATTTGTACAGAATTCTGTAATTTTTATACGCTTGTGTGAAAATTTACTTGTGTCTCGTTTTCTTAAAGTATAAATAAAAAAAATTCTCCACATGGAAGATCCATAGGACTTTTTTTACAACCAATAGCAATTGAAATCGTCGTACAAAACTCCACCTTCGAGGTTTCAGTTTTGTAAAATTTGGTTATTGGATGGAAAAAGGATACATACACCAAAATGCCATTTCGAGAAAATCAATTTGAATGTTTTGAAATGTCCACGATATCTCAAAATCTACTTGACCAATTGGCTTAAAATTTTTAATGCACCATGAACCATGAGGAGAACCGTAAGATGACAGAATCATTGTATCGTATGGGATATTCGAAGATGAGAATCTGTGAATATAATAAATCTGAAAGGGTAGGTATTTTTGTAATTTTTTTAAAATTACGGTTCCCTGCTTTCCTTCTTGTTCGCTTCTTTCGAAGGACATATCGCAGATGGTCTTTGCAGCATCGTGTATACGTTCCACTACACTATCATAAAATGGCTGAAATATTGGTCGAGGTAAGTCCATAGAGGCACAAAACCTTTCACACCCTTGAAGATCGATCCCCAATAATCGTATCGCGAAAATGAATTATTTATTTTATAGGTATAAGAAATTAAAGAACACCGATTCGATCGACCTTACCCATTAAATAATAAAAAAGCTTCGAAAATACTGGAACTTCCGCAACGAATATTTTAAGGGGTTCTTAAAACCCAAAACATTAAAAAGAAATGAAAATACCACGAGTAAAAGAAATGTAAACACCATCGATTAATTTTTGCTTGAACACCTTAAATATCTCTCGTGGTTTTAATGGATGGGGAAAAGTGTCAAAGGAGTACACCATTTGTTTTGATGGGGTAAATATTATAAGCGAAACATTTTCTCGAGGTTATATACTATATCAAGATTTCAAGGTGATCGATATTTTTTTAGCGAGATATACTTTCTTTAACGCGGTGATATCTCTGGTAAAAAACAAATTCAACCACATAGGGTATATTAACTTTCGAATAATTTTGAAAAACAAAAATAATTCGAACGATAACCACATTTATAACGAATCAAATAAAATAGTGTTCGTTTATTTCAAATTACTAGGGAGGCGGCAATTAATTTGTAACTCGTTCAATTTTCTATGAAATGCTTTATAAAATTTTTAAATAAAAGCTTCATAGGTTTATTAGGTTTCTCTTAACTAATTCCCAAAAATCACATAGAAAACACGCAGTTATAGTAAAATACCCCCTTAAAGGATGTATTGTTGGGCTGTGTTTAGGACATTAATCGATGTTGATCTGATTGTGTGTTTTTGTCTGCAATATTTACGTGTTGTTACATTTAATAACTTACTCCTGCGGTAAGTGCACGGTTCTATTTCCAAATAAGAAAGACAAATAACCTGTTAGAACGTGTACGTCTAAACTAAATGGGACGCTTTGCGCTACCGTCTATCGGTTGCAGAGAAGCTAGCATGATGGCGTGTTCGCCACCCGGAGTACAGCTGTGCATAGTGACGTTGCTTTTCTCTCTCATTCCCTGAACTTGAACCGTAAACCAGGTGCATATCAGTTATTTCAGTCCGCGTATAACCACGCATTGTGAAATTTCTTGTTCAAACACTGTGAGACGCTAACCGTGCGTAACGGCGCGTAAAAACTAGCATGTGAAATGTTTAATACCATGAACATCAGTGCAGAAATTCCAATAGAGAGTTTTTCATATTTTTTTTTAAACAACGCTAAAGCGCGCCTTTCGTCAGTTTCAGTTAAATATTGAAAATATTCAAAAAATTAGCACATGAAATGTTTACTACGGTGAATATCAGCACAGAAATTCCAATAAAGAGGTTTTTATATTTTTTTAACAACGCTAAAGTGTGCTTTCCGTCAGCTTATGTTCAATATTGTGAATATCTAAAAAATTAAATCAAAATTGAAATAAAAAGAAAAGGAAGATTTTTCTTCTTTTTATTTCTTTGTTCAAATTTGTGAAAAGCATTAATTTGGTCTTTCTACAATTCAGATTTAATTGTGTGTATAATTATTAAAAGTTCGTTATAAACATATGTCTATACACGTTTTCCTGTTCTCAAATATACGAATATTCCTTGGTAATGCTGTTATTTCAAACAACTTTACTCACAGATACTTTTGTTTGAAGTAACAATATTACAAAATAACTTTAATTCACACATTTAAAAATAGGAAAACATGTACGTATGGAGGATGTTCACGTAGTTGCTATATGTATATTTTGTAATCATTTTTGTACTTCAATAATTCTTAATCACAGACTGACCAGTTACAATTGGTTCAACTGTTTGTACACGATTAATATTTTTAAATATGAAGATTTCAACCTCGAAAAAGAGAACACGTGACAGTAGGTCGTCTACGACTTATCCAACTATCCATCTGTTAGAAAATCGTTCGTTCGAGAACTGTCTAGCCATCCTGCTGAAATATGACTGGCATAGTCATGCACAAATCATACTGCGACGTACATCTAATGGTACTTCTTCCAATAACTCACGCCATTGATTACTCAAGAAATTGACATAAGATTGACTAGTTAATTTCTCATTAAGGATAACGACGAGCTAAGTGACACGCACACGATCAATAATATTGTAAATACTGACAAGCATTAACCATATTATTGATTATGCGCGGTCGGTTTTCAAGGAAGGACCGACGTTCTGATGGAGGACTCAAGAATTTCTAGGTATTTTAAAACCCGTCCTTCGATACTGGTAAGCAGTGAAAATATTGACAATAATGATTGACTATGTACGATCAAAGTTCAATAATCCAAATTACACACAGGCAATCATGGTTGAGCGACGTTTGCAAATAATTTATGCAAAGTACTCTGCAGGTTTGTACAAAGTAATTTCATATGTACATAAAAGAAACAATGTTGATAAAGAAATTAGTGCACTCGTGATGTTAATAGTTTTCAATCGTTGTTATTATTATTAAAATTGTGCGATTACTTTTGCCCAGGTGTAAGATGATTCTGCTATACACACATGCTTTCTACGTTTCGTGTTTTTGTATATAAATAAAACATTGTAGGTGACAGTGCACGTAACAAAAATTGATACAAGCAATTGTTTCGGTTGTTTTGATTATTTCGATCGTTTTCATAGGGCATTGCATTCCTATACTTTCGTCCACCATTGTATTAGTGTTGGTTCTCGTGTTACCTTCTAGGCGTGTGGCCTTCGCAGTCGGAGAGGTCGCTGGGCGTCGCAGGTGGTTCGTCTCTTTCCTCGCTGCTCTGAGCTGACAACTTGTTCCTGTCCGTCTCTAAGGGTTCTGGCCATTGGGTTATGTACACGCCCTTTCTCCTTTTGCTGGTGTCCCCTCGATACCTTCTCGTTTTACCCGATGGCGAGGATGCCTCCGAAGGTGCCTCGCTAGTTGCTTCGCTGCCCTCGCTCGCCTGGCTGAGCCGTGGTTCTTCCGGTGGGGGTGTTATTATCACCTCGTGCGGCTCTATCCTATTTTCTGTGACAGACGGTAAACCACGTTTTACAATTTTAACGCGATAGTATGTCAAATAAACGTCCACCGCTCAACGTGTACCGAATGTACAGCAACGATTCTTAAAATGAACGTCGCTCCGGGGTTGGCAAGTCCATTTCTCGTACAGCAGACGCGAATTTCGCTACCAAGAGATTATTCTAATCTTTTTCTTTTTCGTCAATATTGCAACCAAAATGGACAAAAAATATTACAGTAATGATTCTTAAAATGAACATCACTTAGCATGTTCATTTCTCGTACAGCGGAGACGAATTTCGACACCAACAGGTTACTCTAAATTTTTTCTTTTTCATCAAGAAAAAATAAATATGGAGATTTGTATGTGTTCTGTGTAGTTTTAAAATTAAATGAGAATTAAGGTTGTCGCTAAACTAAATCATTTTTGATGAAATATAATTTTAAGAAGAATTTAACAAATTTAGATAAAATTGTATGAACCGTTTTAAGGAGATTAAATTTAAGAAATATAAAACGTAAAATAAACGAGAAACGATTAAGATTAACTTTACATAAGTACTTAGAAAGAAAACTGTAATTATCAAATAAAAAATTTACTTCAATAATTGCCTTTTTAATGCGTTGAATCATGTTTTCAGATAATCGTTGAATAAAAAATAGGAACATCACGATGTCGTCGGTGCTGCGTTCTCCTTCACGCTAGAAACTACTTCGTGGTTTTCGAGATTAGTGTAATGTCTTGTATAATGACTTGATAAACAGTTGCAATTCAGTAATAACAGACGAAGTGTTATTATTAAGTTGCATTCCACAATTTTTCTGTTAAAATTGAAGTCGTACGACTGTTTAGAAATTTTAGACGGATTTGATGCGCAACCGCCTAATGGCGTCGCCAATCGTTAATGATTCGCGGCGCTTTGACGCCATATGGAATTCCCGATCGTTAAAGTCTTAATATAAAGGTTAAGTAAGAAATCTAATATAGTTCTTCCAACCGTTTCAAAATGTCAACGGTTAAACAAATATTTCGTGAATTATTACACCTGTTTATAAATACGATAATAAGTTTAGTACGAGCTATAATATCTCTTCAAACTTGAATACCGGAAAAACTTTTAGCACCGATCGAGAAATAACGGAAACGAAAACAAGTCGAGTTAACAGTTGCTGTCGTAGGTCAACAGATCACCGTGGGCTAACATTTATTGTAATTAGCGGTCTCTAGTCACGAGTGAACGCGCATGAAGTCATCAATGGAGGCGGCTATAACTCTACGACGTTGAAACTTCTATTTCGTTCTCTGGCACCCACCGTTCTGAGAATAGAACCGCACGAAATATAGCGGAAACTTGGGTGCACCTTTGTGCCTCGTACTCCTGTCGATGCACCGAAAATAGTCCTTTTATCCCTTCCCCTTGGCCGCGGACAGGTGAAATTATTTGGCCGCTGATCCGGTTCGATTCGATGCTAATACATCAACGACTCCGAGCCACTTTCAACGAGCGATTCCTAATCCCTGCCAGTCGATGCTTCGATAAACGTGTCAACGAATATCCGATAATTAAGAGCACAGGTCGTTGAATCTTTCGTGCAGAGCGAAACGGCCTATTACGAACCACGATCAGGCACGAAGAACGAACGTCAGGTGCATCGAGTCGGGAAGGGAGAACACGGAAGGTGCGATTCTGGCACGGATAAAGTCATTAAATTAAAATTACAAGCCGCGAGGATGTCGGAGTTCGTAATAATATGTTGCCAATTTCTAGTGACGAAATCAGCCAAATAACAAACTGTTGCTACATACGAAAGCAATGTACAAACTCGGCCGTGTCCCGTGCGTTGACGATTTTGTATCTTTGAAAACCTTCCTCGATTTCGTTCTTAATCTTGCATATAACGAAATTGTATTTGTAGGAAAAAAAATGTTCACTAGTCGAGAAGTTTTGCTTTCTTTACCAAATTATGCAGAGTGTCATACGAGACTGGATCTGGTCGTAGCATTAAAGCAAGAGGAAGTAGAATGATATTTGATTAGGGAAATTTAAATGAATTTTATGGATTTTTTTTATATTTGATGTTGCTTTACAGGCACTAATGTATTCGAATTTGGTATAGAAATTTTTATTTTGGTCATTTTTAATATTCAAGTATGGTTCTATGAAGTTTAGGTTAATTAGAGGTTCGATATATGGTGATATATTTTTTTTAAATTGACGCTAATAAGTATACTGCATGTTATGCGATAAAAGATAAAGGATCGCGAAAATCCATGTACCTAACATATTTTTATAATTTCTATCTAAAATTTTGAAATGAAAACATTTTTTAAGTGATATAATTGATATAACTTTGTATGTATGTTTTTTATTTATTTATAAAGTTACTTTAAATGTTATAATATAGAAATAATAATTCCAATTGTGAACAAACATTCATAATTAAATTTTCCCAGATATTAATTATTTATATTGAATTTTGAATTACTTTAAACTTCGACGATCAGTGTGTTCGTACAAATGGATGTTGAAGTTATTCACTATGAAATGATGTTATTTATGAAAAAATTGTAGTATTTATAAATAAATGCAGAGTTTCTAATTTTTGGGATACTTTTTGTAATTCAACTAGACTACGAGTAATTTGTAGAAATCTTGTTTTATCTAGATCAATGCTACTTGAGAGAAGAGAAACGAACCTTTCTGTACGGTTTCTTCGATTGCCGCGTTCTCGACGAGAGGATAGACAGGTTCGGATGCAAGGATCTCAATCGGAAGTGCGTCAGGCTGCACCAAGTCCACTCTTGGTTCGTTGATCTCAGGAACCGGTGGTTCTGGGCTCGTGAGGGCACTGGACGTTGCCAGACTGTCGGAACCATCGCTTCTCGGTCGAATCTCTTCGAGGTTTCCGGTCTGAGGAACGCCCAGTCCTTCCGCGGAACCGACGGCGCTGTCGACGCTGGGCGTCGATGTTCGTGGACTTTGACGACTGGGGCTATTCTGCGGCGTCGAAACGACCGGACTGACATCCCCTCGTCTTCGTGGCAACGTACTGGCACGGACATCTTTGCTCTCGGTGCGATTCGACGTGGCTATCGGTTGAACCTTCTGACGATTGGCTGCAAACAGATACAGGATGTCACGTATTATTTCTTCCAAATTTTTATTCGACAATTTTCTTCAGTTTTGACACAAACAAGCCCTAACTATCGATCACATTTTAACAAAGTGTCCAAAATGCGAAGAACTATCAAATAACAACTAAATGACGTTGAATCGTGTAAGAAAACATCACAATTTTTAAAAGAATTTAATGATTCAATATGAATCTTGTATAGGTGTTTCACTATACATTACAGATTCTATGGAGTACAAATGAACTACACAAACGTAGTCGTTGGTACCCCAAAAGGTGGTATATGACATAAAATAAAATAAATAAAAGAAAAAGAAACAAAAATTTGTGAAATTAAATTTAAAATTAAATTATATTCTTTGAGTAGATAGTTTCGTCTTTAATGTACAGTGGGGATCTCGATTAACTGGCTTAGAGGGACAAACCAGATAGTCGAAGTTCGAGGAAAAATAACTGAAAACATAGTTCAATATTAAATTTAATTTTCTTTTCAGTGTCTTGTTTTGTTGCTCTAGATAATGAAGACAACGATTTTAATTCGAAACACCCTCTTTATGGCCAATTTTTACCTTTTCTATACCTTCATCCTCAATTGTCAAATCGTATATGTACAAACGTTTGCTATCAATAAACATCGATTCTTTTCGGAGTATTTTAAACATTTAAAAACGTTTGCTTTCTGTTAAACTGTTTAAAAGGTTTTTTAATAAACGAAAATCTGTTACTGAAATCGAATATGAAGGATTAAATAAAATCATTTTTACAAACACTTAATTGAAACGAAGCTGCTCCTTGATAAAAGAATAAAAAAAGACCGAGGAGATCGAAAATAAACTTCCATGGAATCTATCCGTTTTCTGACATCCTTCCTAACGCCAAATCATCAATTTTTAATCAAACTGTCTATCATGGAATGCCTCGAAACGCAAAAAAGAAAATACACATTCGTGGATCGTGTGCTCCCCGTATTTTTAATAGTACCTCGAGTGTTCTTGTACCGGTAGCTACAAGGCCACCGGGAGTGAGACTACGCGAGAAAGAGAGAGGAAGTTCTAATTACCTCCACGAGTGTTAGGTAAGTTTGGCAGCCCTCTCGACATGAGGAGGTGGACCATTCCAATAATAACAAGCGGAGTGTACGAGTGGGAACGGGAACGAAAATCTCGGTGACGCTCCAAATCGACAGCACGTCGTCTTGGCCGAATTCCGACAAAGACCGAAACCGATCAAGAAGCGAAATTTATCCCTTTCCTTTTCCTTTCATTACACTCGTAAAATTTTTATTACGCTTTAACACGCGTGTAGGCAATCACCATTGGACCAGACGCGGACCACGACATTTACAAACAATTTATGCAACCTACAGTGTTCCACGAAAAGACAATTTTATATCATTCGTTATATAATCGTGCCGTAAAATAATTATTACAATTACCCTAATTTGTGTATATTAATTATATTTATCACCGTGGAACTCAACTTTGTTACAATACTATAAAGCTTTTTGCACTTTTTTTTTAATGGAACTTACCGATTCTTTTCGAGAAATCAATTCTCTTTATTCTGTACATAAAACTAGGGATTTATTAATTTTCAAAATTTCCTTTTACCTACGCGTTCTTAAAATATTAAAGTATCGAGAACAATTAATCTTTCGAAATAAAAGTTAAAAACATTTTTGTTACTTTACGATTCTTTAAAATTGATATGATTTTATGGTTTCTGCAAATTTGTATAGCTTTTTCTCCATTAATCAATTAATCACATTGTACTTGATATGTAAGACATCTTTACTTATACAAAGTTTATGTGTTTATAGTTCATGACAATTAAATGTACTCGGATAGAAACAGTGTAGTGATATAGTTTAATAAAGTGTTAATAGTTTAAATAGTCTAATAAAAACTAGCAGTTACAGCCTATTTACAGTATCGATAAAAATATTGAATTAAATATTAATTATGGCTTGAATTAAGTAATTACTGTAGATAATCCTTAAAGATATGTAAATATTAATGAATCTTAGAAAGAATCTAAATCTTTGCTTTATATTTCCACTGATGAATATATTAATAGGTAGGAAGTGTGAACATTTAATTTTGAACCGATTTTTAGAATCGATTCTTCTTTTGATTCGTGAAACACAGAAAGGCACACAAAGTTAAATAACAATAATTATGACAGATACCATAAATCAAAGCGAACGATTATAAATGAATTTCACGTTACACGAGCCCCGGTGTAATTATCGCGGTCATAATTGAACGTCGAATTAACCGCTACGTAAGTACTTCCTTCGCGGTAAAACACACATTCGTTAATTTAGCTGGCAGACTACTGGAAAGGGAACCGCTTCTCATAGGCGTAAATGTAAAAATTACGGACTGCGTAAGTGTGCAATTACAAGCACGGAAAAAGCGTTGTACAGTGATGAACGCGGAGTACTCGTAATCAAGCCACTCTCTGCGACGTCGAGAAAAAAGTTGATCAGTCTAGGCAGGGAACGGATAGCGTCCGCAAGAGAAAAGCAAAGAAAATAAACCGCGCAATTATCAGTGGCAGAATCTCAGAAATTTATGTATCAGATAATAATTTTTAAAATAACTACGAATAATAATTCAAGATTAACTCTAAATTATGCTGTTTTTAAATTTTCTTCTACGGACTTTAATTGGCCTCGTAACTATATCGACTATAAATTCGACTTTCACTTTTAAGAGGCGGGAACCGATGCGGCGAGAAAACGAAGCCTGTTTTTTTCGAGACAAATATCACCGGAGGTAAGAAAGAAAGAATTATAGAAAACGTTCAAAAAATTACGACGATACCATAGCGTCGTAAAATCTTATTACGTGTTCGGTACAAAAATCACGGCGTTTCTATGGTACACGATACGCATTTTTCATCGTCGTCCGCCAGAATTGCAGCCAATTTCTCGCGAGCCAGCATTATTACCGTCAACCTCGTGATCGTAATCACTGTCATCGCGAACGAATTTTTTTCGTTCGCGACGCGACGATAGTCGGATAAAGGAAAATCTATTATCTCGTCGGCTTTCGCTCGATCTCTTTTTACCCGTCGGTCGGCGTTCACCCGCGGTTAATAGTCCAGGATCGTAGCAGCTGTATTTCAGAAGATACCTAGTTACCCGTCCTCGTAAACCGTCTTCCGCGCATAAAAGGTGTCCCGCGAGAGATTTGTTGGCGCGTTAGCGCGAAGCGTTTCCGGCTTGTGCCACGCACGCGATTCGTCGCGTTTCACGCCTCCGGCCTTGTTACACATTGAGAAATCAGCGATCTCATTTTTCGATTTTCTTCCTTTTTCCGCGAGTTTGGCCGGCGAGCAAACGGCGAGCTTAAAAAAATAATGCAACAGGAGGCGACTCGTTGAAACTGCCAATGGTATTTCCGTCAACCTTTTGGTGGAATTAACATCATTTTGTTTTCGCAAGATTTAGCGCGATCCTAAATAAAGCTAGAATACAGGTAGACAAAATATCACGGGCAAAAATAACGCGCGACAGAATATCGCGAGCGGAGATACAATGGGCGTAGAAAGTGCTCGTACGTTGATCAATTTCAAATGTAATCTGGTGAAGCTGTTACTTATTCAATATTTTTATAATTATTTGGAAAATGAGCCACCTCGCTTGTGAAAAATTTTGGTAATCGAAGAGGAAGCCCCGGTGACCTTGACCTTGAAATATGTTATCAAGGACAAACTTTTGAGCAATGTAGGCTAAATTATGAGTCAACATGTTGAATGCAGTTGGTGGAGGATCGCTTGGAGAATTTCTATTGGTACCCATAATGACGATTTATAGAGGTATTTTCTACATAAAAAAATTTCAAAATAAGAATTTTCTCAATTTTTCCTTTCCAATATCTCTACCTAAGAATTCTGTAAAATAAAATTATACGATTCAAAGAAAGGAGATTCAGAGGAGGGTAAGTAAATTACATTAAACTGTCCAACATCTTCCCTCGTCAATTTCTGTAGAACTTGAAAAAGAGCTATTGATTTCAATTCCCAGAATCATTTTATCCATGCTTGTTGAGCGGATTATTAAAAATTGTTATTCGATGACCTTCTAGTACTACCACGAATATTTCGAATCAAGTATGCAATATTTCTAATTTCAATGTACCAAAGCTGCGCTCGTAAATACGTACATTACCGTTTATTAATATCTTTATGCCAGGTAATTTCTAGAATAGGCTCAATTCCAAAAACTAAAAAGCAATTAACGACGGATAAGCTTTGATATAGAAATTAATATCAGTAATAATCTCGATTTTTAAAATTGCAATGATAAACATTTCCGGTGCGATAACGTTTCTCGATCGTTTTTACATATACAGAAAGACAGTTCGTGTCTATCTAATCATCAATACGGCGTTTATGGTGTTTGTTTAGTTTTGGGATAGAAAAAATCATTTTTTAAATTTTCGTAAAATTATTATCCTATGAAGGTTGCAATGAAAGAAATGAATTGACAATATTATGGGACTTCGAACTGGGTTCTTTATATCAGTGACTCGTAATTATTTTAATTAATGTAAAGAAAGTCTGTAACCAAATTAAATACTTGTACAAAATAGTTCACTGTTCAGGTCCATCTGAATATCTTCACAGTTGCAATAACACAAACAATATTTTGCATGAAAGTATGATATCAAAGGACGAATATTCTTTTTCCCATTTTACAAGATCATCAATGCTTATTTTGTACACAAGTGTATAATTTTTCCACTGCATATGGTAGCTAATATTCAACGAGGTATAATTCCACAACCCCAAAGTAATCTTTGATTTTCAAAGCTAAAGTTAAACATGAAATTTCTTTCTTCCAAGACTAAAGCTTAAAAATGTAAGTAAACATACTCCAGAAGACCTGACTACTATTCATAGTATCATTCGAATAAATAGAGTAATAATAATTTGTTACGGATAATACTTATCCCGTGGATGAAATATTCGGATAAATATTTATTAGAAAGGATTTTAACAACACCCAACTCCGATACAGAGTTTAAGACTGTCCAACAGTTTTCTCAAAAAGAAATCTTAAGTACCACTCGATGGTTAGGTTTTCAAGCTAGACCCTCAATAATTAGCCAAGTACACAATAAGCTTATTCAGGCCAGGGACACAAATGCATTACCTTTAAGGTCGCAGAAAACAGAGTCTGGTGTCTCTCTTATTTCAAGTCCTTTATTATGAAACCGAATCTGCCACGGTATGTAGTTCAGGGTTAGAGCTATACACCTAGACGAAAGTCAATGTTACGTTGCTACTGAGGCGAAACGAAAAATCCGGATCCCTTAGAGCAATCATTATTATCCTGCATCCGTAAACTGGACATTTCCCCCTCCCTCTAAGACGGGGTGAGTCTTAACCACGAAGCGTGCAGAGGAAGAAATTTCGCGATGGCCTCCGCGGGCGCAAGATAAAGCGCGACAACGGGCTTAGCGTTGATCGACGGGAAGTTTCGCGCGGAAAAGCGGGTACAGTTCGGGTACCCTCGAAAATTATTGGACTGGAATCCGCGAATAAAATACGGGCCCGGCTTGTCAACGAATTTAGGACGCCATGGCTGTTTAACGCGCGAGAAACTTAGAAAGCAGTCGCGGCGTCCGCGGTGGTAAAGCGAGAAAGAGACGTGGAAAAGAAAGAAAGGTAGAGAAAAGAAAAAAAAAAACTTTCCACTCAAGTTTCTCAATAACAAGAGTTTCGCGAGATACCGTCGCTTTCACGGATTTAGATTGTCCCTATCTTAGTTATACAAACCGACACCTACATGAATGTAATAATAGACATAATGGGTAGTGTTTATTTGGCGAACCGCCATGCCGCCGGAGTCTGCATTCCCGCGCGACCCGACCGCTGGCCAATATTTACAAATACACCCGGCCGTATACAAATCATATAATTAATCGACAATGCTCTTCCGTCCAAATTTCCGCGTTCGGACGATTTTTCTTGCCGTGTCGCGAAACGAATTACGACTGCGTTCTCGCCGCCATTACGTAACGTCGATTCAGGAATGAATTAAGCGACAAGCGAAACAAGCACGTGCTGACTCCAAACGATGCAGTTGGAGACCCTCAAGATTAATAAAATATTTTTTTTTTAGAAGGTTTTTTTGAAGATTAAATTAGTCTTGTAAGCGATGGTCTGTGTTTTTAATACACAGTATACATTGACAATTGCCTAAGTTCCAAATTGTTCGCATATTTATTCGGTATATTTTGACGATTGATCTTTGCACATCGCGCGGAATCAAGATTTTTACAGTGGACCGATACGAACAAAAGTGAAGATTCATTATATCTCGCGAAGCAATAACACTTGCTGAAGAAGTAAAATAGAACCTTCTACGGGGAATGACTAGCAGAACCAGTTTCCAGCAGGTGAAGACCCGAAAAGATAAACACGGAAACAAAGTACAATGAATGCTTTGGAGTAACTGTTCTTAGGGACGCGCTCCTTGCTCTCGCTGCTACGCCTATTTAAAAGACTCCTACTGTTCCGTTTGCGACTATTCGTAGCGACGAATATAAATATCGAGCACTATAATCGTAAACAAAATTCGCGAATAAATCGTGGTACATGATAATGATTAATCTCATTGTTACTTTACAAATGAAATTGCAATAATATAGATCAAACGACATTTAAGAGTTCGCACAGTCTTGTATGTCTTCTTGATAGTTTTTACAAATATTGAGTATAGTATAACTTCATCAGAGATCTGAAGACTATATTTAAGAGTGTTAATTACAACTTAGATCGTGAATGATATTCCACAAATAGGAAATTTTACGAAATTTCTAAAATTCAAGGTAATTAGATTGCTTGAATTGCTAAAATGTTCTAACAAGTAAATTTCTACGAATAGATTCAACCAATTGGTTTCAAATAAAACTCATAAATTAACACGTTGATGTTATCAATGTCATTATTTTTAGACATGAAAAATGTAGCAGTCAATTTGTTAAACGAATGCAAAATCTTAGTTTAAAAATTTATAAAATATCAAATCTATGGACAAGAGGGGGGAAAAAGAAGAATTATTTACATATTATTTTTTGGATTCATCGCAATAGAAATTATTGATAATTTATATTAATGCCTGAGGAAGACATTTATCGATGGACAAAGAAAAGGCTTGTCAGAGAATACGAATTTTTAATATCTTAGAAAACACATAAAATTCCTTTCTTAATTTTTAAGAATTATGATTACCTCTATTTAAAAAAGAAATTTTTATCGTACAGAATTCTATTTAAAGGGAAACAGATGCAATATTTTGGTTCATAACTACGTCTGTCTTATACTAAAACCATGAACGTGAAAACCTTCATCTTTCGCAGTAAAGATGAATTTTGAATGTCCTTTTTTGTTCTTTTTATACCAGAACTGTAGATGTGTACGTTAAATGACAGTGGTGATTATATTCTAAACTCGATTCGTGAATGTGAGTTATTGTTTAGTTCAGCAATGCCAAAACTTTGAATTCCACAATCTATCGAATTACACTCATGGTTCTGGTATAAGGAATATATACAGAAAATTCTATTTCAGGTCAAACACAGACACTCTCTGACAGTATCTCTGATAGAAGTGCCTCAAGATTCCTTGCGTATGAATTGCCTAAAATTTGGTTCCCAGAAGCTTGCCATAACAATTCCTTCCACCGAGTAACATCGATATGCAACAAGTGCAGTAGAAGTTCATTTATATAAACCCGACAGGGAACAAGCACTTCTAACTTTTCAAGCAACCGGAGTTTTCGAATTTAATCATACATTTAGCTCCTTCCTCCTAAAAATATTTCCATCTTGATGAACTTGAAATTGACTATTAAGAGCAGTGATTAAATAAATTTTGGTGAATAACTTTTTGGTTGGTTAAAGAGCAAAAATAACTAGTAAATATACCAGATCCTTCAAATCTTCCATACACTTTAAATTAATTTTATTTGCATCCAGCTGTTACCTTCAACTATTTACTAATTGTGTTGAAAACATGAAGGGCGTCAAGATATCTGACAACCTTCACTATCTAACAAACAACAACACTACAGCATGAATATGTTTCGTTTCCACTAGAGCGAAGCTCAGACAATGGTACTGCAATAGTTCAGTAAATAGTGAATGAAAAATTTCGTTGGAATAAATGAAGAGATCTACTATAGCAAAGTTACCTTGGTTGAAGTCCACTTGACCGAAGGAAGCGCTCCTGAAGGGTGCACCGGGTCTGTGAAACGTAAGAAGGGGTCCTCTGGGTTCCAACCTGGTAACCGCGTCTCTTGCCTCGCCCTCGTTACCGCCCCCGGAGGCGGCGTTCAGGTTGTCGCACAAATCGTCCACACACGTAGCACTATCCACCACCGAATCACTGTACTGTCTCAGGTGTTTAGGCGCGTCAGCACTAGCGTTTAGCTCGTTTCTTATGTCACTTACGTCACCACTGCTCCTGTCATGCTGCCTGCCCGATCGCGAGGATTTCCGTGAATCGGAACAGGGCTTCCTGCACGCGTCTTTGCTCGACTCACTGTAACACTCGTCACCGACACTCTCACTTCGACCGATCGTCTTCAGGTGATGTTGCTGGGGATGCTGGTTATTCGGACTGTGGCCCTCGCTGTGTGCGTAGCTTCGACAGGAAGGACGACCGTCGCAACGACCGCATCCTGGGTTGATTGCCTGACAAGAATTCGATTTTTCGTTGAAACGATATTAACGATTTCGAAATGCAACATAGTTATTAGATGCTACCAACATAGGGCTCGTTGCAACCATGGTCGACGAATTAATCTTGCAAATGCAGAATATATATTTTTTACAAAAGAACAGAATATGCTTAGAAGGGTAATTGTGTTGTAAGAATGTGTTGAACTCAGCAACTTTATAAATATAAGTTAGCACTCTAAATGTTGAAGCTGTATTCTATTTATTAATAGTGTGTCACAAGGATAAGATTTTCGAAATATGTTGTATATATCCAGTTGTGTAATATGTTGCACGTAAAAAGGAAAGTTTGAACGTCCGGCTCGAGAATTGTCATGAAATCCTTGAACATCAATCAGTGACAACTAAGGGATTAAGAGACAGTTTGCGAAGCTCGGTTAAATATAACTGACCCAGAATCTCGGTTCATAATGCTGTTCAGCAATTTACTGATTTCTGAGGTGCTAAGGTTTTCGTGGTAAAAAAGGTAAATTACAGTATTCCTTTGATGGAACAATGAAGGTTTTGATAAAAACGACAAGGTCGAAGATTTTGAACTATTCGGATGAAAGGTCCTACAGAGTTCTTCGTACTCGATTTCGTTGCTTTGAATTCTCACCTGTGGATAGTTCTGTGGGGATGGCTGATATCCAGTTGGGGGTGGAGAGGATGCTTGGACGCGCGAAGGTCTTCTAGGGGGTGGTACCGGTGCTGGTCCCTTGAGTTTTTCGGTGAGCTCTCGAAGGCGCTCGGCCTTTTCGCTCCGGGGGCCGGAAGAGGACTTTTTGCCACTCCCTCCTCCGCCCCCGCTCCACCGGAACCTGTGCAGTCGGTCCACCGCTATCACTGCTGGTTCCTAAACAAACAAATTAAATCTCATTTACTGACAGTCTTCGACGTATACCATATTTGTTAGAAAGTACTCCAAAGAACTGGAATTCAGATTCGATAATCAGAATTTTGAGAAAATTTTATCTTACTATTGATCAAAATCAAAATATTGTTGATAGAGAAATAGCGGATTTCTTTCGGATTGTAAACATCATTCAGAGGCAACCTCTCTGACTCTATGCATTGTCTTCTCTCAGAATTTAAGATCCCTTCTTCCTGGTTTTCTGGATTCCTACGACTCTGATGCGCTTTTAAGAGTCGTGCACTCGTGACCAGACCAATTTTTGAATCGACCATGCTGCGCAACGTGCGCTGCCTCGTGCCTGCCGCGAGGGAAAAGACAGATGACGACCAAAATAGAATATCGTTCTTCGACTAGACACCTACGTATCGCATGTACGAGTTTCCGATTCTCTAGGCCCACTACCTTTACACGACCAATTTTTTCACTGCGTGCAATGTCGTCGAAATCCTACGGAAGTAAATTAACGAACGACAGCATCTATCGACGAGTCATTCTCATCGTTTCAAATTTTCATCGAACTAGACCAGCAACGTGGTCAAAAAAACAAAACAAAACTTAAATAACATCAAAATTCCATCGGTAACCTGCTAACAAGATAATTGCTACGTAATAGGAGACACATGTAGTTCAGGAATTGGTGCACGTATTAAAGACAATGGTGAAAGTATCTAAACTTGTTGTGTTTGCTAATCTAATCCGAGCAAGACAGTACAATCGCGGCAGAGTATTTTTCGATCGACTTTCACGAAACGTTTCTTACCGAGAGCCATCAGCGGCCATTAAAAATACTACATCTTCACCATCACCTTGTAACCCACCTCTCGAGTTTTGACATAAAACGTCCCGGGTCAAAGACACTTCGTCCCAAATTCCAACCAACTAACTCACTCTTACGAAATCACAGCAGCTTTTTTTTACATGCTTCGAGAGATTCCTTCGTCCACCGATCACCAGAAATATCCTCCGTAAAGAATTCGATCGAGAGATCGTCCAGTTGACAACATACGAGATCCAATTCGTCGATGATAATTTCGCGGTCGCACGAGGAACGATCGGATCGATTGGACCACGATCTCGATAATGACGATCGTCGTGAACGATCGATGGAATACCTGCAGCTTCAGCGTCTGATGCTTGGTCCACTGTGCGAGCTGCCGCGGCACCGAGACGGACTGCAGCGTCGGGACGGCAGTGGACGTGCTGAACGACGTCGAGGAGGATGGCGAAGAGGACGACGGTACCGCCGCCGTTAGAGTTGCGGATGATTGTGGTTGATGGTGCTGGCCAGTGCTGTTCCCCACCGATGTTTGCAGCATCCCTCGGTTATTATTAGAGTTCACCAACGGTTGCGCCGACGTCGTTGGCGTCGTCAGCGTCGCCGGCTGTTCCATGCCGGCAGCACGGCTGTTCGAAGACGTGGGAGGCCCAGGAAAAGGAGTCTGTCCACCTACTCCGCCACCGCCACCTCCAGCTCCACCTACACCTCCTCCTCCGCCTGCTCCACACGTCGTCGACGCTGCCGTCGCTGTCGACGGCGGGAACCTCGGCAACGGCAGACGGGAACGCGGTCCGATGCAACAACAATCGGCGATGCTCGAGCTTAAGTCCAGGACAGGATTCTCCGGAGACTTCTCCGTCAGCCTTTCTCTCGAGTCGTTCTCCCGGGAGTTCCTCTTGCGTCTTCTCTCTTGGGATTCCTCCCTTGAATTTGATGGCGGCAGACTTTCCTGCAAACAAAAAATAAATACGGTTTTTCTTCGGTTGGTTCGATCTTTCATCCTCCTGCCGGTTGTAGAATATAACAAATAGTGCTATCGGTCGATTGACGTCACGATTTTTTCAAATGCCCTGTTATATTCGCGACAGTTATAAATATATCGGAGGAGTGATGTTGCTATAGGTCAAAATTTGACACCCACGATCTTTTACGTTTGATGATATTTTCAGGTCCCACAAACGCAAAAGATCGGCTATAAAATTCTGCATGCGTGCATGTATGTTGACGTTTATTTTGTTGCGTATCTCAAAAGTGCAAGCAACTGAAAATAATTTTTCCAGGACGTTTAATTTCGCCGAAAAATTTCACACCTACTCGAATTTTTTTCTCGAAAGCGCGTAGGAATTCGAGTGTATCTATTCGCCAAAAATGATTGAAATTGATCCCTGCAACCGAAAATAATTTTTCCAGAACGATTTAAAATTTTTTAATAACTTTTTAACGAAGCCTCAATCAAGAAATTGATATTCTTGATTTTCGTTTTATTTTGGCCTCTAGAATCTCTAAAATTTTTCCCAGGTGACCGAACACCCTGTATAATAGAAATTTACTAAATACAGTTTCATAATTGAATTTCTAGAAATATCATTTCGAAGTATATCAAGAAAAAATTCTTAATATTCTTGATCAATCGAATGAAGTTTGACCATCCACCCAAATCCTCCCGTCCCTTCATATCTCTGGAACTAATTCTCTGCTCGACTATACAATTTTTTGCAATTGATGTTTAGTATGCAATTCAGCTTCGTAATCGGGGTGTCAAAAACAATTGATTTTTTGCAATCGTTCTTTATATAAAATAATATATACATATACTCAATGATTTATTAAAGTATACTGCCTTCCACTGGCTTCTGGTTGGACAAGTATGTGATAAATGACACTCGATTTTAGATACAAGCTGTTTATCATTTAATAGCGATGAAGTTGTAGCAAGCGACATAACATTAATCAGATTCTCATCTTTCAACTGATTTCTGTATTTGCCGTTATTCATACTCGTAGAAAAGAAACCTTGTTTATTTTATTTGTATAAATTGTAAAATTATCGTTTAAATCATACAATTTATCGATAATTTACCTTTATCTTGAATTATAGTAAATTGGAAATTTCTTAAATTGTCTTTGTCTTCGAATATAAATTACGAAACATGGATTTAATGTAGCACTCTCAATACTTAAATTAATTAAAAATATCAAATTAGTAAACATTCTTGTAGTTCGTGTCATCTGCTGAATCATTACAATAATATAGTTGGATTTGCAACCATGTATCCACTACCATGCTCTCTTGCTGTGAAGTATAAAATTTCATTCGACCGCAGATTGAGAGTTATATTCGTTTTTTAGGTATAGGTGACAATAATTGGAGTTAGGTTTCAATAACAATATTTTTAGCTGCACCTTGTTATTAAAGTATTACCGTGTATGAATTTCCTTAAAATTTATGGCAAATATAAAGGCGTAGTACTCATCAAAACAAACAGGTCTTGAGGGGAATGATCTGTTTCTGAATAATTACACAATTATTTATGGGAATGTCTAAAACATTTTGATTATAATAATAATACTATTGAGAGTTTGATAACATTAAAAATTGAATTAATATTTTATTTGACAAACTTTAGAGTATTTATAAGAATTTTTTAACCAGGAAACCGTTTTCAACAAGTTCTTTAAGTATTTAAGCATTTCTAAAATATGTATTTCATCATAAATAATATGTGTTTATATTTTGAATTATTATTTTCTAGACCTCCATGATTTTTAGGAAGAGTAGAATGCTCTATCAAAGAGGAACCACTCACTTTGGTTTCAATCTATGTACAATATACATACATATACAAGGTGGACTACTTAAGTGGGGTCACCTAAATATCTTCGTTATTTATGGTCGTATGAACAAACTCCCTGCAACAAAGTTACACTATTTTAAGGGACACATGTCAGAAACTGTTCCTCAAGATTATTTATCAATGAGATTTTACGATTATTTACGTGATTAATTCAATAATTGAATAAAAAAGTTGGTGTCAATTAAAATTTGCATAGATACTTTGATCTTTTTAGAAAAATAGTTTACAACTCGAAAAGAATATAACAAGTTATAAACAGTACTAATTTTCGTAATGAAACATACATAAACAAGAATAGAAATATTCGTACGTTCTTCAAATGCTTTTAATTAATATAAAAAAAGAAAGTCATTGTATCCTATGACGTTAAATTGACTCGAACTTTGAACAGATTTTATTTTTAATTTATAGCGTTCGATAAAAAAAATAAAAGACCATTTACGCATCTATATAACAGATCAGTTTGTTGTAAACTTCCTTGTTCGATACAGTACGAATGCACCGGGGAAAAATGAGTCCGTAAAGCCTGTAAAGTGGCTTCGTATACGAAGAGGCTCAAACTGCTTCTTGAGGTACCGCATAAAACGAAATGTAGGAAGCAGAACTCGTCTCTACAAGGTAATTTCATCTTGCTCTCGTCACATTGAGAAACAAATTTCCCAATTTAGATCTTTTCGTGCAAAAGCTTCATTCTTTCAGGGTTGTGCTTATACATTAAACTTACTGTACAAGTGTGTTTATAAATAAAAATGAGAATGGAATGTTATGTTGGGTGAGTCTAGTAACTGGGCCAAGCTATAACTTTGTTTTTATTAATTAAACGTAGAAAAAATTATACAGGAAAATTTTGCTTTTTTTTTTATTATAGACTATCAAAAAATTTATCGGCACTTTTTTTGGAAGTCATTTTTTTTAAGTCATTCTATAAAGTTAGGTCATCGATAAGTCAGTACTATATTTCATTTTATTTTTGAATATTACAACGCTATTTAAGCATTTACAACTTCAGAAATTTTCAACTACATATTCTGACAATATTAAAGCATCAAAAAATTAATTTCTAAAATTTTTCTATGGAATTGAAATTAAAATTTTTTGATATTCATCTATTCTTTAATATTGTAAGAATATGCAGTTACAGGGAAATTTTGAGATACTGCTAAAGAAATAAAATTGTTCTTTTGTACAGTAATCTTAGATATTACCAACATAAATCTCTTGTTGCTTAGAAACTCTTACACAACATTCATATTTTTTGGAATTTACACATCATGTGAACCTTTATACATAATAGAGATATACACAATGGTAAAAACGTTTATTAGTGAATAATTTATGCTCATTTATGCTATTATTAGTTACATTGTTTTTGTTTTTAGTTCTCAATTTGTGTATACCTTCTGATAATAGTGGCTCTCTACCTTTGACACCGAAGAAAGAAAGTTCTTCCGCCAAAACTTTCCGGGATTCTAAAATGTCAGCGACCCACCTTAAATCATTATTCACGTCCTTTTATGAGGTTCAACTTGAACGTGTGCAGGAACGATTGCGGTAAAGAGGATTTGAGAGGAGACAATGGCGTTGAGGTAAGGTGACGCCGTCGTATCTTCCCACGAACGGGCTGGAGATAAACTCCTCTGAAATAGATCTCTGACTCTTCTGTATGCAACACGATGTAGAGAGGATATGCTGGAAAGTAGAACCATCTAATCTCCTTTCTCGAAATCCTTCTAAGATAGCGAGATACGTACTGAAATGTCTGTTTTGATCTTCGGTCTGACACCGCGTTTTACGCTTCGCGTCTGGGAACACGATACTACGCAGAAATGCATGAAACAGGAAGATAACGAAATACCTGCATCTTGAATCGTAATAATTCCGTAAGAATGTATTTATACTATCCAGGAAACTTCAGACTATCGACCCTCCAACTTCACTAAGTTCCTCGACTTATGCACGAATTGCTTTCGTAAAAACAATTATGCATACGTTGGTTTAGAATTACTGGTACAAATTAAAATTATCAATTTGGAAAAAGAAATAAATATATTATGGCTATATGTAGCATAGAAATATAAATTAATATTTACATTCTATTCTGTCTGATTTGTGTTTAGTATACGTATGTTCAGTGATATTATTAAATCTAACCCTGAATGATTATGTGTTAAAAAGTTAAGCATATTTGGATTACCAGATTGTTTAAAATGAATAAAGAAGTATACACGATATCTCAGGGAAACTGATAAACTTTTATATTTCAAAACGTAGACCTGAGAAGTCCTAGTGTAACGCGTGGAAATTCGAAAGGACGGTGCGTCGTTCCAGTGTTGATAAAAATGTTTTATGAAAACGATAGAAATAATTTATGATCGTACGAAGATTAAATAGTCAGAGTTTCTCGAAAACGGGCATGGAATGTGGAGGGTTGAAAATGAAAAGCGTTCACGAGGTGGCTAAAATCGGAGTACGAGCGCCGGATCATCAGCTCCTGATCAGCGGACGGATACGCGGCGATTTGTCGCGATCGAAGGACTTGGCAATGGTTCGCGGGCTCGTCCGTATGTGTCACACGGGATTCACGTAGCGGCTACGTGTGCGTATGATGTCAACGTGGATATTATTCTGGTTGAGCGAGGACGGCCAGTCGGAAAAATAGGAAGAGGAAGAAAGAAGGAAAAAGGGAGATGGCTCAAAATCGGCCCGAGTCACTGACTGGCGGCATTCTATTTGCGCGATCGGCTCTATATTTAGGATTCCCAACGTCTTCATTTTGCTCATGCGAAACTGCTCTGTCGCGAATCCGTCGAAGGCCGTCACGACAGCCAACGGAGTTCGAATTCTTGTTCGGTTTGGACGCCACGTTTTTAACCCAGCAACATTTAGAAGCGTTGACATAGGAAGTTACAGTGTCTATAATAACACCATTTTGCCATATAACTTCCTTTCGTGCGTCACACAATTTGGACAACGCGATCCATTTCGATACCAAAATACTATACCGGGGGTCCAACGGGCCCCAATTTATTTATATTCAATTTTATGTACAGTTACTCCCACTTGCATTCGTACACTATAATGATGATTCACTATAAATGGAATGAAGCTTGTTTTTTATCGATTGAAACTGTAATAAGTAAATTTTTTCTTACAGTGAGATATTTAAGGATTTATATATGAATAAACTACAAAAGAAACTTGTCAACTGGGTCTTGTTCGATCACTGACGTTAAGCTGCGTTGGGCGCGGTCAAATACAGTACTTTGGAATGGGTTGACCACTCAAACACAACATCTTGTTAATATGTTTATTGTTGACAGTTTATTGTTGACATCTTAAGCACTACTAGCACAGCTAGATTTGCTCGTTAATATTAAACAAAAAAAACTACTTGTAATAAACAGTATTTGGTAAGAATAAAATGGAAAGAATTCATAAGAAAAATTTAAAAAAAATACTACTTCGTAAATAGAAAGTAACACAGTTGTAATAAACAACATTTGGTATGAATAAATGGGAAAGAATTCATAAGAAACAAACAATATATTAAGAAAAAAATACTACTTCGTAAATAGAAGGGACACAGTGTAATAAATAACATTTGGTAAAAATAAATGGAAAAAATTCATAAGAAGCGATATTTTTAAAAATACTACTTCGTAAATAGAAGTAACAACGCAGTGTAATAAACAATATTTGGTAAAAATAAATCGAAATAATTCATGAAAAACAAAGTTCCTTTTCATTTATAGTGAATCACCATTACAATGTACGAATACAAGTGGGAGTAACTGTATGTAAATTTATGTTATTGAACAACATCTCTGCTTTTGTATGACTTTGTAACAGTCATATCTTGTGACAGTTTCAACGTAAGTCCAATGTATGTTTCGCTTAACACGGTTTTCGATACGAGACGAAACGAATTGAACTATGTTGTAAGAGGGTGGTTGACTGTGACAGGAACGTTCGTATAATGGGTGTTCTGATAAGGGAGGATCTACGTACAGTAAACTAATGTCGATGTTAAGCGTACAGTCACAAAGGACTTTTGGAATACATCGATCAGTCATTCTCAACAACTTTCATGGACGACAAACGACACCAACACCTTTAGCATTCTCAAACTACATTACTTACGCTCAATTGTTATCGCGCAACTATACCAACTTTCCTGTTACAATCATCGTGTACAACAATCTCGGTAAATCACACCTACACATCACCTCCATACATCGAACCTCAACTAGCCGTTGCGGCAGTAATTTATCGTAAGAGCAGCATCCGATCGCGACTCCGTGTCGCAACGCTTGTAGGTGCATTAATAAAGAGGAGACAGGCAAACTTCTAGAAACGTGAATATAAAGGTCTGAGAAAGAATGGAGCTGTACAAACTCGGAATAGTTTCTCCATAATGGGAATAATGGAGAATGACTCTGCTGTTTCGTCAGTGTAGCAGCGGACTTGACCAATCGTTCGAGGGCATATTGGCGCTTTAAGCGTTTCGTAATATTTGAATATGAAAGTATATGAAAATTACTTAGGACCTTATGTAACCGAACAAAACATCAGAGTGTGGTAATAATTGATTAAAGGAGTATAAATCATGTGGTACATCGGCTAAACGTCTAATACTACATATTGTAAATTTTATAAACTTCATGATTTGTTCTCCAGAAAAGTCTAAGTATGTCCTGGAACTCATTAAAATGGTTATGTCGAATGAGGAATCTCGTGAAAAATAATTGTAATTAAATAAGTAGAGCTATAAGTCAAATGAAAAATGCCAATATTGTTTATCATAAACGAAAAGTGAAGAATTTACAGATGTATGTTTACATAATCTTGCATCGTCCTTAGAAGGATTAGAATATTCTCTTAAATTCATCATCCAATTCAGTTATACTATCTATAAAGAATAATAATAGTCGATAGCTTATTGAGTAAGTAAACCCACATATAGTAGCTTTAAAGTAGTATGGGTTAATGTACAATAAAGAGTATGTCAACAGTAAAGGAACATGTGTACGAAGAAAATATGCCATGAAAATTAAAAAAAATGTTAGTTTAGTTTGCTCTTACAATAGAAAGATTTGAAGAAGACGTAGTTTTAAATGGGCCTGAACACAATATTAATATTAACGTCGCGATGTGAATTAATAAAATAATATTAGCCTATGCCTTGGAGGTCGTGAACTCTCTTGTAAGATTCAGGCTTCCAGGAGGAAGCTATTGTTTACCCAGTCCAGTCTCAAAGTCATACTTAACAGGCTCTGGAGAGATGACGAAAGGGAGAACGGCAGGTTAAATAAATAGAAAAAGGATAAACTCCTTACCTGAGAAAGTCGGAGACCGTATCTGGTGCCACCCAGCACGACGTAACCTCCACCAACAGTTGCCCCAGTCATGGCTCTCGCTGCACCCCCGAGCCATCCTCCGAATCCACTCCCTCCTGCCTTTTCCGGCCCGCCACCCCCGTCTCCACCGACGCGGGGCATTCTTCATCCTCCCTTCACCCTGTACAAAGATACCATAGAAATTACAACCCGTTGTTGAGGAAGAATAAACATAATGCTTCTCTTTCTTTTTTCAGCTCAGCAAGAAAATACTAAAAATCATGTTTCTTTAACCGTTTAACAAGTAATTGGATCCATTTACACAAAATACCAGTGGTTTTAGAGACAAAACTATGCATGTTCGTACACTTTGTTTCATTATTGCATTACGTTGCAAACGTTTGGCCACCTATTTCTGAAACAACCTATAGTGCTTTCCTGCAGTTATTCGCAAACTTACGTCTCGCGTTCTGACGCAAGGTAAACCTAAATTGTGTTTAGAGTAAATACACCGTCAGAACTTTGCTCCCGATTCTTTGATAGACGCAAATATAAATTTTGCGTGAACGATTACACCTGCTAAGTATTTTTTTTTGTTTTAGCTGATATGACAATGCACGAAAAATCATTTTACGGTACTTTCCGTTGTGAGTCTACTGAACGAAGTCTTTTGTTTTCAGGTTCATTGATTCACCTGTTGCGTCGACTTGCTGGTACTTGTTCAACGTTGGAGATTGATGGAAAAATAATCACTTAAATTTTGATGGTCGAATTATTACTTATGGTTTATATTTGCTGTCAAATTATAGAATGCTTATGTTTCTAATCGATATAAAATTACGATACATTGTTATAGACACGTAAGGTTCTATTGTAATTATAATACACTGCATTTAGAAAACACGAACAATGAGAATTAATTACATTTGAATTGATGCTACACAACTAGTCGAAATTTTTCTATTAATTCAATATCTTGAAATATTTAAAGCACCATAATACTTTCTAATTGCAATTTTCTTGAATTTTATCTTAAAAAATTCTAAACATACAAAGGAAATGAAGATTATAATTAATGAATTACAATCCATTGAATTGCACAATACTAAATAACGATCACATCAGTAATAAAATATTATCAATATCATAAATCGCTGTTTACTGACACTATCTTATTATAGATAGCACAGAAAAGTATAATAATTAAAGTACTGATTAGCTACTTTGACGTTTCCTATCACAAGTTATACTTCGCTTCAACGAAACTCAACAATTTAATTTCAAAAATAACAAAATTAAAGGTTCACTTCGATCACAAATCATACACTACGAATTTTTTTTTCCACGTAGATTGAAGCTGGTCTATAAAATCGTCTTAAAGCTTTTAGTAACTTCGCGATAAATTTTCGACGAACTTTAATGGAACTTTCGCACGAATTCTCGGTAATTTCATTGACCAACGACGACGCGCCGTAAATAAATAAAATCGTTCCCAACAGTTATCAGGGAATGCGCAAACGTCCGCAGGAATTCAAAGAGCAATCGTCGTGCGTGCGTGACTTCGCATAAGCAAGTATTGCAATCAAATTTGTTCCTGTTAATAAAAACTTATGGACACAATTCTGTTTTGCCACCGACAGTTACGAAGTCCAACGGCATATTTATTTTACGTTAACGTCTCCTTCGGCATAATTTTGATCAATACCGTGTCTTGACATTAATAATAGAAATCAGAAATTTATTTTTATTAATTTCCAGAGTACAATCTAAACTTAGAGATTCTAGAGGCCAAAATAAGACGAAAATCAAGGATACTAATTTGTTGATTGAGGCTTCGTTAAAAAGTTATAGAAACATTTCCGGTCACACAGTATATTTTCAGTAGAGAATTTTTTTCTCGAAAGTGCATAGGATTTCGAGGGTATGTGTATTGACCAAAAATGATTGTAATTGATCCCCGCAATCGAAAATAATTTTTCCGTGAATGATTTGAAATTTTTGTAATTTAATTTTTTAATAATCAACAAATTGATATTTTTAATTTTCGTTTTATTTTGGCCTCTAGAATCTCCCATTAAAATTTTTCCCAGGGGTGGCCGAACACCCTGTATACTAATAGATACAGTATATTGTAAAATTGCTAAATGAAATTAATTTTTTAAAGACATTGAAATAATAGAAATAATTTTAATTCAAAACTGAATTTTACAGTTCGACGGTAGGAAGTTTCCGTTCAGACACTAATTACGAAGTTTAAAAGCATCTACTATAATACATATTGAGAGTCAACCGGAAATCGACGTTAACGAACCGTTACATCCGACTTAGGTGTCGCTGATTGAATCTGAGGAAGGAAGGAAAGAAATCAACTCCAAGAAATCAAAGAAGAAAATATGTTCTTAAATAAAACGTTGCAATTAGCGTTATATTTCTGTTTCAGAAAAGGAAGAGAAAATTTCGTTAAATAAAGATCTGGAAAGTGAAAGCCGTGATCATTCAATCGTTCGAGAAGAGGCAAAAATATAAATGGTGGTGTCAATTTTTTTGGTTATAATGAGCACTAACTTCGAGGTAAAATTAAGTTAATTAAATATCTTTTTTTAATTAAGAAATTTAGAAATATACAATACGCGTTAATAATAGAAGACAGGAAATTGGAAACGACGATTCTGTATATAATTAAGAATTCGTTTCATAATAATCAATTTACAAACAAGATCAGACACAGAAATCTGTATTAATTATTTGTCTCAGGTTATCTGAATTCTAAATTCTTCGTGAAATCTAGACGATACATTCATGAGATGGATGAGTATTAATCATTCGTAACGTTTCTCACAGGAAACAAAGTAAACAACAGACTGAAAGATTCAAATTCGATGCTTGAAGCCAAGCTTCCTTTGTTCCTTTTCTTCAAACCAAGAAAAACGATACCGTCATATTACGATTGTATAATAATTGCATTTTCTATAGTTTGATTACTAAATTGGATAAAAACTGTATTGTGAACATTTGATTTAATATAAACGTATTAGAATGCAAATACTTTAGTTCGTGGTTCGCGCGAACCTTCAAAAACTTAGCTTCCATCTAAACATCATCGCGATGAAGGCTTTATAGTTGCAAATATTGAGAGTTTATAAATACCAGTGTATGTCTTTTCTATTTCCGAATGTTGAAGGCTAACTATATCGGAAGTTAAAGTGGTTCGTGCATCTTCGCAGCAAAGAGGCATTAACGCGAAGAGTCCATCATCGATCCCGAAATAATAATGGAGATTATAAACTTCCGCCGTCGATGCATTCTTTGACGGGAGAATTGACTTCGTCGTACAAAACGGCGCAACATTATTTTCAAAAACTACATTCAACTTTATTACTACGATACGAACGAAGATTGCTCCACTGCCGAAATTCTGTTGTATGAACTGTTCGTTACATTGAATTCGATGTAAGGTGCTGATTTATGCGACGATAAAACGCATTTCGTTGCATTACTCGTACATAGAAGTTCCGTTTTCGTGTATGCAAATCACTTTCGAACTGGTCGCGTGTGAAATTTATGAACGGTCACGGAACAGGTTCGGATTCGTACGAAATATTTTGATGCATCGTTGATACCACAAGAATTTCCTAAATATTTTCTGATGTTAGAAAGTCCTCATGAAACAGAGAGATACTTTTACCTAGCCTAAAGTAGCGTTTCTCAAACTTCATCTAAAGTAGAAATAAATTATTTATTGTTTGAATATTTTTATTCAATTTAAATGGTTTCCTTTTTCGTTAAAAATAAATTTGGAACAAATTGCAGGTCATCTAGGGATTTATTAATTTCTTTCACCAAATAGAAATAAAAAATTTGCATTACTTAGATTTCAGAAAAAATTGTCCATCTACCAATGAAACTTGCTGCTTTTGCTACCTTTCAAACTTAAATTTAACGATTTGGGTTGCTCCTTAAAAATGTTTTGACGTTTTTATTTTACAACTAAGAAAGAGAACATTTTTTACTTGATGTTTTTAGTAAGAATGAAATGCTACAAGAAGCACTTTTTTATTTCAGTATCCCGCGAGCCACAGTTGAAAGAATACTGGCCTATGGGGTCTAATGGGTTGAATAATATGCGAACACAAGTTTCCTAAGCACTCGCGGTCGTAGCAGAAAGTGTTAGCTACTTCCTTTCCCGATTGTAAATCATTTCAAGCATTAACGTCGTTTATAGGCCATGCTGTAGTCAGATCGAACTCGATTGGACGTTCAAGGCCATTTTCCTACTTATAAATCACAACAGTTATAAGTCCTATTTTAACGCCATGCTTTACTTAAGAGACCAGGCGGACTTTGGACGAAGAAACGAAAGGACCCTCGTTATTTTGAGTGACCAATTGGGTTTGATTAAGCTATGGTAAGTGTGAGTATTACTGCAGTATTTTATGGAACTAACAAATATATGAACTTCTGAAAATGACTCATAGATCTTTTTGATATTAGAAATTAATTGTAATTTAACTTCACAAACCCACAATCAGTTCCATTTAGCTTTGTATCAGTGCTACCTGGCTTTTAAAATTTTGAATTCTATATTTGAAGAACACTCTTACCCCCAACAAGCATTAACATACTCTACAGACTGAATATCACATTCTGACGTATCCAAATTTCGAATAAAAGTTGATTTAGCGAAAATCAGCCGTCTGTATGAAAAATGTACGTTCAGCCTTTCATGATACCGTAAATCGTATAAACGCTAGTCGATTTTCATGTAATGTATTTTCTGTCAGATATCTGTGATCGAGTGACATTCAATCTCCAGAGTGATTTATTTCGTCAAACCGCAGCACTGCTGTCCCCGATAATGGACGCTGAACACAATTTAATCGAATTTCGATAAGATTTACAACGAATGAAATTACGGTGCAGTTATTACACGAAATCTAATTTACGTAATAGAAAGAATCTTAAAATAGCTTTTAATTTTCCTACCATAACAAATTTAATGCTTCACGTTTTAATTTGCAAGTCGTGGACCTTTTAACTATATAAACGCAATAATGTTTGTCACATTGTCGAGAAATATTCAACTTATTTCTTTGTTATCAATCACGAACATAATTTTGAGGAGTATTTTTTATATTAAGTGTTCGATTAAAATATTCTTTGCCGTAAATCCTGTTCCAGCTT